TGTCAGTCTCATGAACAGACTTCCACTTGTCCAAAGGGACTCCCCGCCCTTCCATTCCCTCTTTCCCCCCCTCACAATTTGTCCCCTGAAAGCTGATCTGAAGAGTCCAGGAACCCTTTGCAGCAAATGTGGAGAGCGAGCAGGAGCCTTCAGGGGAGGTGGGGAGCCATTCTACCAGCTGTGTCCATTCCACTGGTGGATGAACACAGTTGGATTCCGACATTATCTTTTTGGAATCCTTACAAAAATTATGCAAGTCGGGTCATTATTATTCTCCCTGTGCTATAGGCAGAAGAACCGAAATTGATTCTGGCTTGCTTAGCTAACTAATGAACTCATGGCAGAGGAAGGATGCAGACCACATGGCTCACCTCTTTCACCACTGTGCTGGACCAGTTTGCTTTTTGTGGGATGCTGTATTTCGTAAGCCACTTAACATGTGTAGATAAGACAAACCAGCAAACTAAGCCTCCTCCTCTTTCTGTGCTACACACACACTCCTTCTCTATGCACATGCCTTGAATCACACATTTCCAGGACCTCTCTCACTTACACCCTCTTTTCACATGATGCCATTCCACATCTCTGGGATGCATCTTGCCTACACTGCAATCAAAACTAGATGTGGACAGATAAGGCCGAGGTATTTTCCAGCCAGCCAGCATCTTTCCTCCAGGAAGCGGCCTCACCCATATGGTTACCACATTCACACACACTTCCAACTATGGATCACACTACAGTGAAGCAGGCGTAACAACAAGTTTGCACATAAGAAACAGAGATGCCCAGACAGTGGTCGGTCCACATTATTCTGCCTTGTTTTAATGTTAAAATCATGCTTTCTCGGGGTTTTTTAGATAAAGCAGGATGGCAGCATGTAAGTGACAGTCACTTCTAGCTCCCGGATTTCTTCTGGCTCTGTCCCCCAAATTATGGCTTCCGTGCAGCCGACTTCAGCACTGTGCAGCAGTGAAGAAGGCCAGACTTCCTTTTTAAATGAGCCATGTGGGAAATACATGCCCTATTTTAATACAAAATTGCACTTCCTGAGGTTACAGGAACATGATTTTGTATTAAAATAAGGTGCACACTCTCCATACACCTTATCTAAAAAGAAAAAAGCTTTTTCCTCACCACCCGATTGCAGCATTTGTGGGAAAGGGGAATTTCTTGACCTCCTGATGCCAGAGATAACCCATCTGAGAACCGACTTTGAGCCATTACTTCTTCCCCTTCATCCTTCTCTTGGGCCTCCTGACCTTGCAAAAATGCCATGGTTTGTTAAATCACTGTGTCTATTGATGCTAGAACTAGTTTCAGTGCTACAGAACAAACCAGATGACAAACTACCATTAATTGGGCCAAGATTAGCAAGTCTGAACTGGGCTGAAGTGATAGAACATGCTTGCTAGTCAAAGCAGTATAAAATGTGCACATGGAAAATACAAGCAGTGGGAAATTAGTGGCACCAGAGCATCCTTTGGGGTTGCAGAAAAGGCCCTGGGGACATAGGCTGTACACCCCTGTCTTAAGTGCAAAGAAGGTTGCTTACAAATACCTTTCTCTTCTAATTAACAACTGAGCTGCTTCACATATTAAAACGCCATATATGAATATCAACAACTCTCTGAGATAGATTAGGAAGGTGGTTCACCATTATGTCTCTAGGTGGTTTGCTGAGATCTGAACCCAAGTATGAGATGACAGCAGCTCAAAGGTTGACAACTGGGACAGTCGTGAAAAAAGATAAAATGTTGCTGGGAAACATTCTTGACCAATTTTTATTTCAGTTCTAAGCGCAACACATGTATGAGAGAATCGCTAACCTGGACTACAGCACCAGGTGCATCAGTATTCTCAAAGTTGGGCAGGTAGGGACCTGTCAAGAAATCTCTTCAAACCTAGAGTATGAGAAATGCCATTCAGAAAATTCGATATATACAAGCAGTATTTTCTGAGTTGCGATTAGCACATAAGGAAGTGAAAAACAAATATAAAACAAGTCTTTAAAAACACATGCAAAAATATTTGAGCTGAGGCCCATTTTCTTCATTACTAACCTTTCCATCTTCATCCACCTTCTTTTAAATATTATAATAAAACTTACTCAACTCATGGAAGACACAAAATGATCCTTTATGTTATTGTGCTTGAGGAATATAAAAGAGTGTTGCCTTAACAAAGGCTTCTCTTGCTGGCCTGTCGAAAATTCATCTTTCCACAAGACAGCAGTGAGCTTTGCACCTTCCCACCCACTGACCTCATCTCCTAGGCAGTTTTGTTACATGCAGGTAAACTGTCTAGCTTGCAACACGGTCACACTTCGTTCAAAATCTGTTTGAGGCGGGAAATGTAACTTTCCATAAACATGAAAAGACCCTGTTCCGGACCAGACAGCTTATCTGACAGGATGGTGCTTTCATTGCCAGGTGTACAGATAGACCGGCGTTCCTTGCTACAGAGGAAAAGTTGGCCTTGACTCCCACATTTAATCTTGCAGCCTCCCTCCAACAGAGGACCTTTCAAGATTGTTTTCTGTAATGAACCAGCTGATATTCCGGCAAGATGAGGCAGACTTTGCTCTACTCAGACAAGCCTGTATAAAGAAGGGCATTTCTCACGGAAAAATGTGTTTACTTTTCTATTTCAGAGGCACAGGAGGCACTGACAAATCTCTTGTGAGATAGTCTCTTACTTTACCTCTTTCACACACCTTCTGCAGGCTGCTACCACAGCTTCCCCAACAGAGTGCCCCTCACTTGTATCGAAACACAGCTCCTTTAACTGCTGGCAGTTCAACACACCTGGAAGCAGCTCCAGGTTGAGGAAAGCTTAGGATGAGGGCTCCCTGAGAAGCCAAAGATCCATGGAAAGGAACGTTCAAGAAAGAGGGCAAACTGTTTAGCCTAAAAGGACAAGGAATTAAAGGGAAATCTGCTCTAATTACAAAAGACATTAAAATAAGGAAACAGAATATTACAGATTGCAGAAGAAAGAACACTGGTGTGAACTGTAGAAATGCCTTATGATGCATTAGCACAATTGTTGGACATAGTTAGCATCTCTCATATACATACTCAAGCACACAGAAAGACCAGATTTTGCCATTCTTAAAACACACTGGAACACACAGAAACATCTGGAACATGCAGATACAAAAAATACTGCCCTTTTAAAGCTAAGCAATCCTAATAACACAGACAAGCAACAACAAAGAATCCTTTTCAGAAAATACGAAAGAGACATCATTTGTTTAGGTTTCAGAATCAAGTTCCCAACAATGCTTCAATACATGGATGTGTTTTCCTCCACCCCAACAATTCTACCCAGAATATGTTTGCTTTAAAATATGCTTGTGAAAGTCTCTCCCCGCCTCCACCCCTAAAAGCAAATACTTCATTGCACAAAGGAAAACACAGTTTTCTTGGCACACGTGGCTACAGTTGTTCTTTGTTGAGAGAAGCCAAAATAAAACGAGACAAAAGAAACAAACTTTTAAGTTGCAAAAACTCCAGCAAAAAGGTCAAACCTGAAAGCATCACTCAGCACAGTGGGTTTCACAGAAGACCATGGATACGTGTAAAGGTTGTATTTACACTGCCTGCAGTCAAGCCTAATAGCATGAGTTCAGAAAGGGAGGATCGGGGTTTCGTGGCTTTTGTTGGCTCAAGCCAGCCCCTTCAAACTTGCTCTACCTCTGTGGTGAGTATGTGGCTGCAAGCTTCAACGCTGTCCCACATGTTAAACAACTCTCAAATATTTCCTAATCACAAAAGACAAGGAATATTTCAGGGGCATGTATTGGTCCCAGAATGATATATCGCAGCTACAGCTCAGTGCTTTCTTTGGCACAGGTTCAGCAGTCTGAAGCCTAGGCATCTCAGTTCCTGGACAAGTGTGAGCAAAAAGGGTGTGATCTTGGCCAGGGAAACGGATTACTAATATTTTTACATCATATATTTATCTTAAGCAATCTCATTTATCAAACGCGATTAAAGAGAAGTTGCTATCTGCATTTGCGAGTAATTAAAGGCTTTCTCCTGACAGCCAAAATTACTGCTGTAGAAGGAGATCCCTGCAAGTTAGCATGATAGTGACCGAGCACAGTCCAACTGTGAGGGCGCGTACTTGGCAAATGCCACAGCCTGCCAATAGTGCGGCATGCTACAGACACGGTCAGCTTTAATGTAGAAGTTTAGAGTCCAGAGACTGCAAGTCCCTGCGGGCAAATTCGCACGGTTATCCAAAGAAAACAACAATTCCAGATCACTTACAGCTAATCGCCCCATCATTTTGTCCATTGAAACAAACACACATTTGCAAGCACTCACTTTGTGATTTGCTGTCCCAAAGTTTTGCTTGAAAGTTTATTATTCATAAGCTCCATGACCTGCATTTATTTAAAATATTATAACAGTGTAAAACCTTTTCAAGGCAGTTTACTGTATTAAAATGTAAAAGTTTAAACTCTCTCTCTCTCTCTCTCTCTCTCTCTCTCTCTCTCTCTCTCTCTCTCACACACACACACACACACACACACACACACACACACACACAGAATGAAACAAGGATATTAAAATACTATTTGACTAAAACTCAAAACATGGAAAGGAGAGGAGGGGAGGGGAGAGAAGAAAAGAAATTACCCTCGTCGGATGCCTTCTGGCTGACAGACACAATGGAATTTCACCTCATGTCTTGAAGTTATGTGTGTGAAAGTAGTCAAAAAAATCAAGCTAGCAGGTCACATATATAAAGAAATTCCATGTGTTCACGTTGTCTAACATGGACATCATAGTTCTATACACTGTATATAATGCTTGGGATAATTTAAAACGCGGTGCCTGAAAATAGGCAAACATTTAGTGACACCCACCATCAAATACAAATTACGAGGAAAAGACATTTTAAAACCTTAACCATTTTGGAAGGTCAATTTTCTTTCAGCTTAAAAAAGAACAGAAAACAAAACAAAACAAAACAAAATGAGGCCTTCTTACTTTGCAATCTGGAATTCACAAAAGGAGGAGATAGATTGTCATGTGATCCAAGGTCCCTGTTTGTCATATGTTCATAAGGAGTTCCATCTCCATAGTTCTGTTGATGAGTTAGAAACAAACACAGTTTAAGCATAAAATATACATTCAGGTTGCTTAGAGACATTCCCCCCGCCAATATATTATGACTAAAAAAGCATTTTCCAATTAAATTGATGACATTTGCAGATACTTTTTCTGTCAGCAATATATTAAAATTTTGTACGCATACCTGTGCTAATAACTGGGATACTAGCCAGTAAAAATGTTATCATCATTTTCAAATCTGTCAAAGAGATGAAATTGTGCTTTGTTGCAATTATACTAGAAAGCGAGAGAGAGACAGAGAGATGCTGAAAGTAAGGATTATGAATTTTATTCAAGGAAATAAGTAAGAATTGTCAGGGAATACTGTTGCCGGCAACACTCTCTGTACTGAAATTCTGCCAACTCTAAATTAACTCCAACATCAGGCTGGCAGAAGTGCGCAAGAGCTTTCTCCCTCTTTCCTCCCCCTTCCAGCCTTCTCCACCATCAGGGACTCTGCTCTGGAGGGTTTTTCATTACTCCAGAATAGATTCTAGGCATGTATGGGGCAAAGGGGAGTCTCCTCAGATTCCCGTTTCTGTTGAGGGAAGCAGTTTTGTCAGAAGAATCACACAACTGGATTCAACCCTTTTTCATTATTAGTTTGGAAATACTAATTGCCTGGAAGCCTAGTTCATTTTCAATTCATTCCACTTTTGCACTGATCAGCTAGAGGGGAAATTTGTCGTTTGCAGGGCACATGCTGCTGCAGGAAGAAACCATGTTTGAATCTACACTGCATTTCCTATATTACCATAGAAGTTTACTCTAGTTTTTAACCATTATTATATGCCCACTGTGAGTTTCAGAGTCTCTTTTCCCTACAGCACCATCAGCAAATTTTCTTTGCCACAAATGAAAACTTTGCAACTGTTCCACAGGTACCAGCACCAAAACTCTCCAGGCTGTCCACATCATGTAAGCATTAAAACTAATCAAAAATGGCTGGATCCTACTGGTTCACAGCGTTTACCTACAGCAAGTGCTGTAACCACTAAGGAGCAATTGAGAAGAGAACTTACATGAGGTGGACAAAGAAATCTTAAGTCCTGGAATGTGCCTGCCCTTCAGCAATAGTGACACCATCTGTCAGCAGTAACTGCTGAAAAGAAGCAGTGTCTGTGAAGTGTAACAGGATGGATTTTGGTGCTGGTGCCTCTGGAAGGTAACGCAAGTTTGCAGATAATTCTATCAGGAAAAGGGACTTGGAAACTCAACTTGGCATATAATAACGGCAATAAAATTATTACAACTGTATATCCTACATTCTCTTCTGAACAAATCTTCTGTGAAAGCAATACTCTTCCTCCTTGGCGGCAGGTTACAGCCCAACAGATGGACAAGTGGGTTCAGCTCAGGTTTCCCACCACCCTCCTATGGCCAAAACTCTTTGTGTCCTTGCAGACTGAAGGGAATGGAGTGATGGGTGCAGATAGGCCAGGCCCATCTTGGAAACTTGAGCTTCTGTGAGCCCAGGAGGCAGGAGCCGAGATCTTTCTCCAGCAACCTTGTTCAGGTAGCATTTCTAATAGTAGTCAGAGAATTTGCACCAACAGGTAGGAGAGAACAACCTGACCAGGCTTTATTAGTTTTACACTTAGGATGTACAAGTTCTACCACTGTGAGTCACCTTCAGATTCTACTGGGAGAGAAAGGCTGAGTGACCAATAAACCAAAGAATGAGGATGGTCAAAGTAAGGCGTGGGAAACTTCCAAGGATAGACCTGCCAAATTAGCAGATGAAATTACTGCCATCGTCACACCCAAAAGGAGATTTTGCTTAACAACAAATTGCAAGGGGAGCAAATTCTTCAGCAGCAGCAGAGGGGAAGTGGAACCACCAAAGGACCTTGGGAATTGCATATGGCCGATTGGCCATTTGCTGTCCATTCCTGATGCACATGCTCCTACAGGACATGTGGAGAAGGTGAATTTTAAATTTACCTACCCCGCTGAAAATAACAGACATTCAAATTAGATGGAAAAACGGGGTGAGGAGGTATTATCTATATATATGAGGCTACAAGAGTTGAGGTTGATATCTCATGTAGCAGAGATACGTAGCCTGGGGCTGGGCTGGATTGGAGCTCGCTCCCTCCCCCTCCCTCCCCCTCCAATGGCAGCTGCTGACGGGGACTGGGCATTATGTTCACATGACTCCAGTCCTCTGTCAGCTTCACTGGCTTCCCATTGAAGTCCGGGCCCAATTCAAGGTGTTGGTGATGACCTATGGCTTGGGTCCTGGTTACCTGAAGGAGCGCTTACATCCATATATGCCCGCCCGCCCCTTGAGATCTGCGAGAGAGGCTCTTCTCCGGGAACCCTCCGTGAAGGAAATTAGGAGAGTGAGTACTAGGAGGAGGGCTTTCCCTGCGGTGGCGCCCAATCTATGGAATGCACTCCCCAGAGAGGTCCGCCTGGCGCCGTTATTTATTTTTCGGTGCCAGGTGAAGACCTTTTTATTCAAATGTTATTTTAATTGTTACTACTATTTATTCATTTTATTCTTTGGCCAGGGCGACTTAATTTATATTGCTAATTTATATTGTTAATTTATATTATTCTATCTTGAAGTTTATGTATGGTTGTGAGCCGCCCCGAGGCTTCGGCAAATGGGGCAGCATGGAAGTCTCCTAGATAGATAGATAGATAGATAGATAGATAGATAGATAGATAGATAAAAAGTTTCTCTGCTGCACTGGGTTTGAGACCTGCGGCACAAACCGTGCTGAGCAGGCAGACCAGTGACCTCAGTGCAGGCAGCTCTTTACATCAACAGGTCTGACAGTACTACTACAAAAACAATCTAACAAAATAGTGTTAGTCATAATCTTCACCATGGGACAAAACTTCCCAAAAGAATGCAGCTCAAGTTATAGATAATACTGCGACCTTAGGTTTTAAGAACTCCAGAATTTTGGCTTGCTTGGTGCACACTGGGGAAAAAAGGGCATAAACAAACTACAACGAGTCAGATGAAGGGTAGGGTTTGTGGGGGGCAGGTAAGGTTGTTCTAATCTCTAGCAACTGTCACAAGAATTAGGAACTCTGATACTAATTGGATGCATTTCCCAAGTTTATCGCTTGCTGTCAATAGGAATGAATGCGAGAGTCCTGTAATATGAGGAGCAGGAGAGACAGTTTCAGCTCATCTACATAATGCACTTGAATGTCAAACATGACAGCTGAGGCCATGGCTTGCAACTGGTAAGCTGAGAGATCCTAATGTTCTTTGAAGACCACTGTTAGGAACTGTGTCAAATCAGAGAGGATATCTCCAGTGCTTTAATATGTCCTTAATTTGGAGGTTCAGCTATCATCTCTTTAACCTTGGCAAAACCAGCACAACAGGTCATCCTGATGCAAGTTCATGGTTGCAAAATCTATGAACAATAATTTGTAAAATTAAATGCAACCTATTATCCATCAAAGTGAGCTACAGAGCAAACACAGCTATTCCTCTGAAGGTTAAATTGAGATAGAGAGGGCAGGTGGGTAAGAAAACACACTGGCAAGAAGGAACATATATCATCGGTCTTCTATCAAATTGGTCACCAGTGGAAATCTGGGTCTGATTCAAAGTGTGAATGGCTTGGGGCCAAGCTACGTATCTAAAGGATCACCTCTTCCCCTATATGCCTACCAGGATGCTAAGATGATCATCTGAAGTCCTTCTAGGAGAACTGCCCCTGAGGAAACAAGGAGGGTGGCCACAAGGAGAAGGCCTTCTCAGCAGTGTCGCCCTGACTTTGCAATCAGCTCCCCAAAGGGGGTCGCATGGGACCGCCCCGTGACTGGAAGAAGAAATGGGTCGTCATGAATGCAGCAAGGCTCTGCACCCCAGTTTTGCACTGTGTGCATGTATGTCGGGTCCAAATAAGGAGATTTAAAAACGTGAGATAAAGGGAGCAGGCTTGTGTTTTGAGACTCATACCCCACCACTGCTTCGTAATTCCCCTCCTGGGCAAGTGTTCTAGCTGGTTTGCCCTTCTGTACGGTGGGTCTTCTGTGTCCACCTTCTGCGTCCACCTGTACTCCTTCGGCACCACGCGAAGACCTTTTTGCGTAGTGCCAAAGGAGTAGAGGTGGGCACAAAATGCAACATTTTAATAGTTAAAAGCAATTTTAAGAGGATTTTTAATATCCTTTTTATTAAATTTAGCACTACTATGCCCTTATTTATTTATTTCATTTATTTAAAACTTTTATATGCCGTCCTCTATGTGTGGCATCTCAGGATGGCTTACAAATATTAAAATTAAAAATGAATAAACAATTAATACAAATATAAAACAATATACAGCCAATAAAAATAAATTAAATCAAGAGCAAATGATTAAAACTATTAAAATACTAATTTTTAAAATAACACTTAAATAAAAAGGTTTTGACGTGGCACCAAAAAGAACAGAAACTCTGCACCAGGCAAACCTCTCCTTGGCTTAATTTGAATTGTGGCTGCTGTGGGGTTTTATTATGCAGTCTTTACTATGTTTTATTGTTATTATTTTACTACTGTAAGTATGCTAGCATTAATATTACTGTTTTATTGTTTATGTTGTTATGTTTTTGTAAGCTACCCAGAGACCCAGCCTGGCTAATGAGTGGGGTTGAAATTTAAGAAGCTGAATGAGGCAATAGTTCTAGATAATGTACAGCTAATAATAAGCACACATGTCAAAAAGCTTAAGCATTTAGCAAGGCGACTTCAAGCATGCTACAATGAACACCTGTCCATAGTCCAAACTAACCCATTGTTGGGCCAGAAGGAATTAGTCAGCAGTAGCACCTTGTCTGGTGGCAAGGTGAGCTATTAATTTAATAAATTAATTAATAGATAAAATTCAGATAAAGCTTCTGTCTTCCATATGCACATGTCTCCTTGAACATAAATGTCAGCTCCCACTCAAGAGAGGGTTTATATTACTGTGAAGAAGATGTAGCAGCAAAAAAGACGCCTTTGTCTAGATCCTCTTTCAGTGCTGCTTCCTATTATGACAAACTATTCACACTGTTCTTTTCTTGCTTTGTTTTTAATGGATGGTTTACATAAAGGTGAGGTATAATTAATTATAGCTACTGAGCATAAATAATTATTTGGTCAACTTGACCAGCAGTGCTACTTGGCAAGGAAGCTACAGGGATGTGGCAGAGACAAGGTCCCATAAGCAGAGAAATCTGCCCATAAAGCTAGTTTGACCGTGACCCTAGTGAAATGTCCACTCACAGGCTGCTGGTTTGAGGATGGAGGACAGCAGCTTTGCAAAACCACTGGAAAATTATGCCCTTTGAGAAAGATGGTGCATTTAGGTACATTCCTAAAATTGCTGCATTTCATTCCCATAGAAAGCTTATGCTGCATTCACAGGCCAGAGTCTCTCTTGCAAGTAGTTCATACCAAAACAGCAATGAAATTATTGTAAAACTCATAAAAATTGGTTGGCTCTCCTGACTATAGCCACAGCAACTCAATAGTAGATTAAAAGCTACCCTGACCTCCCTTACTGCAGCAGACACAGCAGGGGAACATCTCTAAAGTTGTGCCACACATGTAGCTTATTAAGTTATGGCTTATAGCAAAAACTGTCAGATGGACAAATTGCGTATGGATGAAACTAAAAAGAAACAGAATACACAATTATTCTTCCCACCAGAATCAAATGTGGATGCATAAGGATAGATTTGTGTGATGCAGCTGTATGCATTTCTTTAAAAACACATTGGTTCATATATCTATATGCTTGACTTACTCATTTCTTGGTACTATTCAATGACCTTGTTGAATCTATTCATACTTATTAGCAAAAATTTAAATAGGCATATAATGACAATGATGGAGGCAAAACTAAGCCCCAGTGCAGCACTGGTAAATCTCTAGCATGCAAGCTGCCTAAACTTCACATTGGATATGTTGTGCCTGTAAGTAAATACATCTGCAAATCAATCTTCAACAAGTAAAAGTCACAGCAACCAAAAACACAGCTTACAGACCAGAGATAACTTAGGGTAATGGATCAAAGGCTGATAGCAAGAAGCAAGGCAAAACAGTTAATGAAGTTTCTTGCTACCTTTTAGCCGGAATAGAGCAGGTGTCAAATTTAACCATGGGATCAGATAAGAATCTTAAAAAGCAATTCTGGGAAGAGGTTGCTCTGTAACCAAATTTGCATGTACATTTTCCTATGCAATCAGGTGTAAAACTCACATTTAGATTTCAAATTTACATACACAGGAAGTCTGGAGAGGGAGAAAAGAGATTAGATATACTTACCCTGGATGGACTAGGATGTCCTCCATTCCCCCAGGACCCTGAGCTAGTTCTGTCTTCTACATCTAGGGACAAAAAAGTTCTTTAGGCTTTATTGCAATAATTCTTTCCTTTTGTATAGGCACTTTTAAATTAATGTTTCAAATTAATCTCCTGTTGCCTTTAATTAAGAACCAGGCACAGGGCTACTACAATGATAGTGGCTTCTGACCCAACCACTTAAATTAACTCATTTAAATTCACAGCAGAAATGAACTGGACCCTCAGGAACCGGAGGTTTGCACATAAAAATTATTCTAGTCAGTCTTTCAAGAGACTTTAAGAAGTGGCTGGAAGTCACTGACTAAAGTTGAATTCAAATCCAGGCAGAAAAACACATGCTCAAGGATAAAACTGAACACACTACAAGGCCAATAAATTAGAGAAACTGATAACAGACTAGTTAAACACTTTCTTTGCCCTTTTCCAGTAAATATTCAGCCACAAAGCACTGAAAAAACCAACAGTGATTTGGGGAGCATCCCTGGTTCATAGGACAAACAATTGACACTTTGAAGAACTTAAATTTCAGCTCAGCCACAAACTCACCAGATAGGTTTTTTTTAAAGGATAGCAACACTTGAAAGAACACCTGATCTAAACCTGAAGGTACACAAATTTTGAGGACAAAAAACATAGGCTTTTTGCAGAGGCCAAGATGCAATCAACCTTAAAAATCATTGAGGGCACAACAGCATTACATTTAGAAAGAAAAAAGTCCAACAGCTTCCAGCATTCCCTATCCAGCATTACGGATGGGGAAGGCAGAGAATTGCATGAATGAGGAAAACTGGACGAAGCACAAGATTGCGCCCTTCATCTACACAGCTTATATAAAAATAACCGGTCCCACCCTCCAAAAAGATGCAAAAGGAAAAAAAAGAAGAAGAAGTGCAAGGGTAAAACCCATCTGTGTGCATGCATGTGTGTGTATGGTCACATTTGGTAAATACATGAAATAACTTATATTTGGTACTTTTAAAACTCTACGTTCTTTAGGATTATAATCGTCTTGGGTTGCAAACAAAGGTTTAAGACCTTGGTGATGATGGTGTATTGGAACCATCTTTCAATCTAGGAACCGACTTTGGAGGTGCTCTCCTGGGGGCTGCCACCAAAGGTACCAAGGTGGGTGGCTGTAAGAGAGAGAGCCTGCTCCGTATCTCTTCAAGGAGATTTGCCTGGAGCCTACACTGTTATCTTCTTTCAGCATCAGGCAAATGTGCTTCTTTTCTCCCAGGTATCTTGCAGACTTAGTTTTTGGACCACTTTGATTGTTCTTGTATAACATTATATGAATCTATTGTGCTGTGAAGAAAACTCACAGGTAGAGAATCGATGCTTCAAAGCATGGCGCTTTGTGAATACCCAGCATCATGAAAGAGACAAACAAGCATGTTCTGGATCAAATCAATCCAGAGCTTTCCCTGGAAGTGAAAATGACAAAACTGAGGCTATCATACTTTTGGCACAACGTGAGAAGGCAAGACTTGCTAGAGAAGACAATCACGTTAAGGAAGGTTGAAGTCAGAAGACAAAAGGGAAGGCCAAATATGAGATGGACTGAATCCATTAAGGAAGCCACAGCTTCAGACAGAGGTATCAGGGATAGGATATTTTGGAGCTTTCATTCACAGGGTTGCCTTAAGTCAGAAATGCCCTGACAGAACGTAGCAAAAAAATTCTTGTGCCATTTGTCAAGAATTTGATTATTTTTTCTTTCAATTTTATTTACTGTATTTTATTATTTCAGCTATTTGTAAGAGACAGCTTTCATTTGGGTAGGCAAAAAATATAATAAATACATAAATAATAATTTCCTAAACTAAGAATGGCAGCTTCTTCCAAAGTCTGATTTATCCAAATTGGCCTATCCAGTTGGCCTGGGAGCAATACTGTCCATTCAAAGCAGGAGAGAAAACTGCCCACAGAGCAATACTTGCTCATTTCTGTTACCCAGGAAGCAAAAGCACAGAGCGTAGCTTATTGTGCCAGCATATTCTTTGATCAGAAAGTTCTGGTACCTTCCTCTGATTCAAAGGATTCCAGTCTGGAAGCCCCACCAGAACCACAGTCAAGACCTGCCCTGCCAGAGGCCACAGCTACTAAAAGCAAGTTGGCTCCTGGTACGGAAGAGGGTCATGACACCAAAGACAAAGCCAGTCCACCCAACAAGGCTCAGCCTAAGCTTGTCTGATACTGGAACAACATTTGATCTCTGCTCTTAAGAGGTCTTTAGCATGGACTCTACAGGAAATCAGCTGCATGGTGTGTTCACTGAACCCTGACATCTTGTCTTGCCAGCACCTTCTCATAGGCTGCTGAATACATACCTGTAGCTACATATGCTTACTAGTAACACTATTAAAAGACTTTGTGATAACCATTATGATTAATACTAATATTATTGATTTTCATAGCAATGTAGCGAATGGGGCGGCATAGGAGCTTTCTAAATAAAAAAATATTTTTATTTCCTGTATTTTTCTTGTTGCTACGAACCCAAGGTAGTTTGCACAGTTGCCTGCCTTGCTATACTATCCTCACAAGAACCCTGTAAGGTAGATAAGGCTGAGTGTAAAGAACTGGTGTGTAGTCCCCAACAGCCAACAGGGACTAGAACTTGGATCTTCTGAGTCCCAGACCAACTACACTGATTCTCTGAACTGCTGTTCCTTTGGACTTGCCACCTAGAGATCTGCTATTTATTTAGATTTGCATCCCACATTCTTTTTTTTAAGAACTCAAAGTGGTTTACATCATTCTCCTCCTGCTGCTTTTAATCTTATACCCACAAGAACCCTGTGAAGTAGGTTGGGCTGAGAGTCTGTGACTGGCCCAAGGTCACCCCACTGGCTCCATGGCTGAGTGGGGACTCGAACCCAGATCACCTGAGTCCTAGTCCCATATTCTTAACCACTACACAACACTGGCTCTCTTCATTCCTTCATTCTGTATTTCTTTAAAGCACAAGTGTACATTGTGTATCCTGATTCTGCCACCTCTGAATTTACTGCCAGTTTTGCAGCCGTCACTTGCTCTGGCCCTGCACACAACTGTTCCCATTCCTTTCTCGGACACTTAACTCCACCTACTCCATCTCCCCCTGTGGATCTCCACCACTGATGCTGAGCAGCAGCTGCTGGAAGCCTCTATGAGCCTCTCAGTGCTGTTCTCAGATCAAGTCAGACAAGGGCACAATCTTCAAAATTAGGTGGAGAACTAAGGGGGTGATGCAAGAGGCTCGAGTGTTTGAGGGAGAGATGTTCACATACATTTGAAATTAGAAAATGGAATGAATCTGAGTAAATTAAGCTGGAAAACTGCAAGGGCATGCTAAGTTTGTACAGAAATGTGTGTCAACTATGCACATAGGCGTGTCAGAGTGCATACCTGAGAAGCCTACCAGCCAGCACTGGATTTGGTTTTCGAGGCTAAAACCTTGGCTGAAGTATCTGGACCCCACTCTTCAGCCAAAATGGCTGGCAAAAGAGCTTACAAATCAATAAGAGCTAAATCATACTCAGGCCTACAAACTAAAAAGACACAACACAAAGAGAAAATGAGATGAAGAAGATAAGATTTCGCAGGCATTGAGCCTTAATGTTATACGTTGCTTATCCGAACTGGCTGCCGTGCCGTCCGAAGTGGTAGGTCCACTGATCAGAACCAGGAGGAGCAGAAACATTTCAAAGTAAGATGAAGCCAAAAGTGATGGTCTTTCCCTCAGGGATGGGTGTAAGCGAGGCTCCTGGGAACAAGTAACAACAAAGTGCCTTGAAAGCTAACCAGGTCAGACCTGGTAGACATCTGGATGGTTTACTTAATGTTATGAAATGCCCAGAGAGCTTTGGCTACAGGAGGTAGAGAAATGTAATGGATAATGACAAAAACAAAACAACAAAAACAAACAACAATATGGCCACCATTCTGTGTGTCTTTAAAGGAGGATTAGACTAATTATGCAAGAGATGAATATCAATGGTTAGATGCTTTCTTCGGCAGCAGGATCAATGTGCTGCTGCCCTCATGCCCTGCACAAGGGTTTCCTGGGGGCATCTGTGTAAACTGCAGGTTGGACTAGATGGACCATGGTCTGATATCACATGGTTCTTCTTAGGTTCCTATAGCCCTAGATTGCTAGATTACTTGTTAAAACCCTACCACAACCTTCTCTAAGGTGGCACCCCTCCAAATATTTTCAGCTGCAGCTTTCACCATCCCTGACTCCTGGTCATGAAGATTGCCTCTGATGAGAGCTGCACTCCAGAACATCTGAGTAAGCCCCTTCTCCATAGGGTGACTTGCTCAAGCTTGAAAACCTTTCACAGAAATCCCAGTTGCTGCATTTTTTAAAGGTTGCCAATACCCAAAGGAAATAATAAGTCAGTGCTAGGGGCGGGGGAGTGTGTTGCTGAGAAAGCATGGCTCACAGGAAAATAATACAGTGGCATTTTTCTTTTGTAGAGGAGTGCTTGATTTACTTCTGCCAATGCAAAGAAACACGGTCCATAGTTTGTAAAGTGAAGGAAGCAAGAATTCTGCGTGATGTCCCTTATTCTGCTTCAACTCAGATTTATGACTCTCAGCAAATCACCTTTTGCAAAGTTGAAGAAATAACACCCATTGCACAAAGGTGCTGCAAGGCTTAACTAATTATATATGCTTAACTGCTATTAAGACCTTTTTGATGAAAAGGGTTATAGGAATTTTTAATGATTGCTCTGCAATTACATGTTTCTCCTTGACAAAAATGGGAGAGGGTACAGAAGCTTTGTTTAAAAAAAAAAGTGCACCTCATGTTCTTATTTCTCCAGAGAAAGCTTCAAATGGAATTCCACTTTTTGTTTCAACTTTTCCAAAGCAGAGGGAGAGAAGGAAAGAACAGGTGGAGAAAGAGTGTTTTTAAAGAAAGAGGTTTAACTGCAGATTGCACTGTTCTCTAACACTGCACTGGGCATCCTTCTGCCCAGAAAGCTTCAGTCATGGGGCTGCACTGAAATGAGTGGTTGCTTCCAACAATATA